TTTTAGTTTGGCCTTAGAGCCCAAAACAAGAAAGGAAAGTGTAGAGAATGTTTTAATTAATGTTTAAAATTAATACTTTATTGTTTTAATATTGCTCTGACTTATTTCAATAGTGTGTTGTAATGAGGAAACAATCAATGCTCATTCAGGATGTTGAAAAAGAGATAAATAATGTTTATAAATGAATTTCTTAAAAAGGTCTATGTAGTCTTTTAAAGTAAAAATTTATTCAAAAAAGTCATATTGAACATGCAATGTTTATGGGATAGAGTGCATCTGTGAGAGACTATGTTTGTACTGCATAACAGCAAAAAATGCAATAAAAGAAAACAAATCTGTCTGACAAATATAGCATAAAAAATTCAATTGAACTCATAGGATGTACGGAGACGCTTTGGCATATTGATTTGCCTGACAGGTCTTCCAGTATTTTGATGAAGCTCTTGTAAAACTTCTGCAAGAGAGGAAGAAAGTATATGAATAGGAAATTCAATGTTAATATCAGTCTGTCTACTAAATAATTGTAATAATGAGATAAAATTACCTTCTAGAGCAACATCATTGCTGTGATCTGAACCTGCAGGAAAAATATAAAATTTCAGGGGCATACAACAAGAGAAAGACAAAAACTTCATGACAGAGAGATATTAATGCAAAGATGATTGATGTACCTCTTTTACTACTGCGAACTGTAATGTTGGCCCTTTCATCAACCGTGGGTACCACAAAGACTTCACCTATAAATAAGGAAAATAACTGTTGTTTATAGTCAGAAAAATTAGAGATATGAAAATTTAAAATACATCACACCTTGGTAGATTGGACATATAAGAAACAAAATCCCAATTTTTCTAACACATTTGCCGGGACCCAACTAAATACTCTTCTTCATATGGTTCACATAGAAAACAAACAAATTATTCTAACCTGTTTTTTTGCACTTCAGGCAAAGCCATATGTCGCTGTCATCAGGTGTCACAGGTACAGCGCAAGAATTTTCTTCTGTGTGCACAGGCACACCACATACGTCACAGAAATCAAGATAGTTGAAAACTCCAGGAGTTTTCATACAAATCTCACAGGTCATCCGCCACTCCTCAATTTCAACCTCCACCATATTTTCTGGGGAAAAAAGGAAACAAAGTGTTAAAAGTAAAAGATAGGGACAACATGAATTGAAAATAGAAAAGGCACAAAAAGTAGCAATTGCTTTTTGTAGTATATGACCATCAGGAGAAACTCTAGATGGGTGACATACAAATCTGTCGGAGTTTTTAAACAGATGAACAGAGATAGAGCGAAGAATGGTATGTTGATCTAACGTCAAGAAGTGAGCACAAATAGAAGGGAATGTGCAAAGAAACAGTTACCATAGCCAATATACAGCCACCATTTTGAAAAATCCACCTTCAGCAGCAATCACACTGTACAAATGTCTTAAGTCATGCTGACTTACCAATTACTTGTCAAGTACTATTAAGAAGAGCTTTATGGTGCCCATAAGAGTACTTGTTATATGAGTCCTCAGAGCATTGTTGAAGAAGGCTATTGAAGTCCTGAAGAGGACTATTTAAGTCCTGTAAAGAGGACTAGTCCTAAAGAGGACTTTTTGAGCCCTGAAGAGGGCTGTTGTTGCCTCCAACCTATGCTGAAATGGCTCACACAAAATGTTCCCCACCCAACTCATTGTCATTAACTAAGTAAAAATAAAACTAAGAATTGTAAAATTTTACCTGTTTCCATACCCATTACATCCGTATTATTTACTTCAGGAAGCTGTAGAGTACTTGGCAAATCAAGAACATTACTCAGAATATTATCCCCTTCATTATCATCCAAAAGCTCTGGAATCACAACAACTGATTAAACATTTGAGAAAATGTTCCAAGACATCGTATCAATGAAACAGTTCGTGAAGATTCAAATGTAAGTACCATAAACCTCACCATGATATGAAGACCTTGTTGCACTCTCTTTAGCTCTATCCACCTGGGGGAAAAACTCCGGTATTGTCTTATTTGCTAATGTAGGACTGCCTGTGGGAACCCATTTTGTCCAGTTGATGAATTTCCTGCACCTCTCTGATACTGGATTACTACAGGTGTAAAACTTCTGCCCCATACTCCTCCCTTTAGTTGATGTTCGCCTACAAAAACCAATAAAAAAGTTACAGATTGAGTATCATGCTCTACACTTATAAAATTATTGGTGATATTACTCACAAGACAGCCTTTTGACCACATCCAAAACAAACTGTAAAGTTGTAAAATGGTTTTAGACTGTGTATATTTCAAATAAATATTTTTTTTCGAACTAATCTAATGTACTCTTACTTTTATCAGTAGTTGGAGTTTTAGTTACAGGTGGAAAATTGTCAGATACTTGTGCAGTTTTGACCGGTGTAGAGACTTGGCTTATGATCTGGCTATGGCTTTTACTTCTCTCTGGACTTGATGTTGGACTGATGTGCGCACTGTGTGTACTACCTGGTTCATCAAAAGCTTCCCCATCATCTGGTGTAAGATCTATCAGAACAAAAATAAAATTGTGGCTATGATGCACATTACATAAGATAAAGTATTATACTGAAAGTGTTTTAGACCTATGAATTCGACATCAGCCAGAACTCTTGTTTCGCTTGTGAGAATCGAATTGACTAGAGACACATCTACTGTTGGAAGAATACTATCTTTGAGGAAGGAAATTGAATCTGTCTTGGTCTCATCTAAAGTAATATGATACCCAATATGTAAAACCTTGAATATTAATGAGGCATAATGGCATAATATTTGTTTTATGGCAATGTGTCTCACCTTTTGCACACTTCAGGCAAATTCTGCCCGTCTTCCCGAAACCTTCAACCACAATAGACGTTGCTACAGAACAGCTACCATCTAAGATGTGGATTGCTTTTGAGCACATGTCACATTGGTGAGCACCTGTGGGAGGCCCTTGAGTCTTGCAAATGAAGCAGGGATTATTTTCGGCTTGCTCCTCTGGATTTATGAGTGGATTGCCTGCTGCTGTGTCCTGTTGCTCTGATTGTACTGTGCACATGATGTACAACATTAACCACACTGAAACAGCAGAATAAAATCAGACTATACAGCAATAAATGTACCTCTGCCTGACGAGGGGGGTGGGATGTCAACTGGCATATCCCATTTGTAGAAGGCTCTGCAATCATCAGTCTTCCTGGTTGAGCAAGTTATTATAGTTCGTCCGTAGTTTTTCTTGGAGAATGAAGTTCGACTACAACAGTGTAAAATTCAACAAATTATTTATGATGACAATTAGAATCTCCTAACTATGAACGGGGCTGACCCTTTGCTTACCAGGTAACAGGTCCCTTACATACATCACACTGTTTAACTGTAATACAATTGTACTGGATTACACTTTTGAAAGCTTGCATTTCAATTCAATTCAATTCATTTGGTAGACGTTTACCTGTAAGGTCTCCATCCACATCTTCAACCTCATCTTCATCATTATTGGCATCATTGCGCCCCTTCTTTCGTATGTCTTGAACTTTCTTTTTCCCCTTTGGACGACCCTTAACAACATGTTTTGGTGGCAATTTTAATTGTTTTTCTAACTCCGTACCCAAATTCTGGAGAGATAACACCCCTCTACCTTGCAGTGCTTGTGAGACTATATCTAAAATGAGATGATAAAGAAAACGATCATTAAATAAAACCCATTAACTTATGTTTTGTTTAACAAATTTTTTCTTAACCCTTACCAGCATTAGACTTTGAAGTAACATTCTCCGCTTCTTTGTTGCCATTGTCTTTGCCATCCTCTTCAACAGTCATGACTGCAACATTAAATAAAAACACATCAAAGCCTGATGGGTACCAGAATATCAATCGATACATAGTAAACAAAAAATATACCTGTCTTGTCAACCTGACCGTCAGCAGATATTCCTATGACAGCTATGCCTTTTCCACTCTTTAGCATTTCTTCTATATTTAGGAGAACATTAATCTGCTCGTCAAAATCCTTTCCACCATGCTGAGCAATTAGAGAACAAATTCTCTTGCAAATACGATCGGCCAAATTGTACCGGTCTTCTGCAAACAATGGTTCCCTTTTCTTAGGCTGCTTAATGGGAGCAATTAGAATGTCCACATTGGAAATTTTCTTGTCTTTTGAAATTTCCATGACAACTGTCCATCTCTTTGGGATAACACTGTGATCATAAATTTCAAGACCTGCAAGTAGGGCAGACATAGAAATGAGTTAAATGACCAATTTTTTTTCTTTAACTTTGAGGAAAATAAAACAATATCAGTCATTACACATCTTACCTTTGATCCTTCTTTCTCTAAATATATGAGCACAGGTTAGTTGAAATTTTGTATAAAAGGCACAGTCACATTGCGTAGTATTAACTTTATGAATATTATCACTAGGAGGTTCCAAACTTCTCTCATACTGCCTCTTTAGCATATCAGCAACAAATGGAGTGTTGGATTTGACAATTGTTTGCACAACTGGGTCCTTGGTATACTTGTGGTATTTGGTCTTCACAAGGGAGACAAAAAGCTTATGATCATGTTCAATAGAAGAATTTCTATTGATTGTCCTTAGTCTCATTATAACCATAGCTACTGGAATCTTCTTATCAATGATCTCTTTGATCCGAGCATTATGGCATTCAACCCTGCCAGTGGTTCGTTCACCAAGTGTGAATGCCAAATTTCGGCGGTACTCTGTCCATATAAGGCCTGAATTGTGCCAGTATTTATCAAAATATTTCATGAATTTGCTTTCAACACCAACAACTTCTTGAAGCTTAGCATATGCTGCATCATAATCTACTTTAGAAAATGCATACACAAGTTTATCAAGGATTGGCTTTACTTCATCACACTTGTCACCAGCAAGTTTCTTAAATCCTGTTCTCTTCATTGCATCTTTTACATGGTAATCACACAAGTGCACTTCTGCATTTGGTAACACTTGTTTGATAGCAGCCAATTCACTCTGATCCTTATCAACAAGTACAACCTGGACTTTCTCACTTACATCAGGGCACCCAAGTTTAAGAAGCTCAAGAGAAGCAGTAACAATTGGCAATTTCTCACTGATGATGAGGGCATAACCTAAGATGCGCCCAGAGCCAAAGCAGTCAATTCCTTCATATACTATGAGTGGCATATCGTTTTCACTCAGCTGGTAAGTGGTATCCATGATAAGGACCTCTGGGTATAACTCATGGGCAGCCCTCATTTCGGAAGTCTGGAAAAATACACTTTGTACAACAAAAGTCTCTGGATCATGAGTAATAACAACTATAGAGTTGGGGTCCTCCTCTTTCAGTAAATGTAATTGCTTGAATAGAGCATCTTCACGAGAATCTGTACCCTTGAATTTCGCATTCCATTTGTTTCTGTAAATGTGAATGGAGCAGTTAGATATGCAACAAGAGAAACAACAGATTCAATCAAGTGTTACCTCTTACCTCAAGTTTTGAATATCTTGGGATGTGGCTTTAATGCCATTGGCCACAAGCAAATCCCTGATTTTGTGACGTTTCACGTCATAGTCGAAAAGTTTGCTAACTTCATCAAGGGTATTCTGGTCAGGGTTCTTGAACTCTGGGTAATGCAAATGTAAGTCAGATCTCGCGACCAATTCATGATTTCTGTGATTAGTTTCTACAGTTTTAACAAAATAGCACTTTTCATCAAGTGAGTAGATAATGTTGAACTTTGCCAGACAGTCCCGCTTGTACGAGCTGTAAACAAAATGCAGTTTGTAAAGCATTGCTAAATGAAGGGGAAAGAAACAACAATTGAATTACAGTAAAAGAAAACAGGTCTATAAGAAAATACATACGATTGATTTGGGCGCCTTGCTTTTCCTTCAACATGTTCATGCTCCCTGACTCCTCCAAAGTGCTTGCAGGCCAGAATCGCATCTTTCCAATCGAAAGTCTCTGGCACTTCTGGACGGCCAGGCTTTAGCTTACCATTATACCGCTCTCTCTTTGTACAATTGATCACAGTATATGGAACACGTTGTTCCCATTCATACTTTGACTTGGCCTCTTCAAATTCAGCTTGGGAATAAAACTTTTTCCCAGGAACTATGGAAGCCATGGCTATGCCTTAAAAGAGAAAGAACCCCAAAACTGAAAGAAAACTAACAATAATCTGGAAATTTTAACAACAGGGTTGTGCAAGACAAAACTTTAGTAACACAAAATCTATGGGGATGACTAATTTAAAAGAATGAATGGAGCAGCCTCCAACCAATTTGACTAACCCCAATGAATGCGTCAGGGTTATTGTCTAGAGAAGGAATCACAATATTCGTTTACTTATTATTTAAATTATTCAAAAACATGGTACATGCTTTGATTTTCACCCGGGTAAACAAACAAGAAATCTCATATCGGTGTTTATTCAAACAACGAAATAATGGACAAAGAAACATGGATGTGCTTACCTGTTGCCTCCAAAACGTGGGAAATGTGACGAAACTTACCGTGCTCCTCATCTACAAACCTGTCGTGTCGTATATCACTTCAGACCCGAATATACACCAGATGCTTTGACAGTCAACGTAGCTCGACCCTCGACCGAATCGGAAGATGAAATAACAACAACAACAACAACAGCAACAGCACAAGTTGCACCGAGCAGACGACAGGAACTACTCGCAAGAGCTCACAAATAACTAACATCTCCCGCGTATACCAGTCTCGAGGTCCGTCGGAGAAAACATTCATGTCTTATTCTTGACGAACGCATATACTTTATGAATAGGCCATAGCAAAGAATGCTTCAAATAAATAGAACTTTATTCCCATCTGCCGGCTGGTGTTTATAACATTTTTTAGACTAATGTACACCGGCCGGGGTACATAAAGGGATAAAAAGTAATACGCCCCGCTGATCCCTCCCGGGATCTTCTCCGGTGCGTATAACGTTTTACGGGCTTGTGTACACCGGCTGGGGTGCATAACGGCAGGAAAAGTAATACACCCCAGATGATCCCTTTTGGATCCCCCTGGGGTGCATAACTCATGAGGCCCTTATTGACAACATTTGTTCTGGTGTATATAACTGTGTGACGCTTTATTCGCAACGGTCTGGTGTATATAATTAGATCCAGCTACATTACAGCATTCTTTTCAGCTGAATCAGCTTTGGAGCCAGCGTGATTTTCACGCCTCCGACGTGATTTTCACGCAGGCGTCTGCTAGCAGCGTGATTTTCACGCAAGTTCGTAGGTGCACTTTGTGCACTTTGTGCACCCACGAACTTGCGTGAAAATCACGCGGCTAGCAGACGCCTGCGTGAAAATCACGCTGGCTCCAAAGCTGATTCAGCTGGAAAGAATGCCAAATCCCCACGTCGGCCTCTTATTGGCTGTTGCATACAGTCAACTGCTAATCAAAACAACTCTTTTCACGCTAGCGGCGTGAAAATCACGCTCGCATTTTGTGAACTCTGAATCCATCTTAACTCGAAAAAGAATAGGGTATTGGTCTAGAGCGCTGAGCGGAAGTAGAAGAACAAAAACGGAAGGTGGAAAGGCGCCCGGGCCGTCCCCCTCTCCTCCACGGGGCGGAGTGGGGGAGCGCCCGGGGGGAAGTGCGGGCGCTTTTCCGTCTTCCGTTTTTGTTCTTCTACTTCCGCTCAGCGCTCTAGACCAATACCCTATTGAGAAAGCGATCTGGGAATTTCAGGGTAGTTTTGTATCATAAAAAGACAGATCGAGTTCGAAGATGAGCATTCTAGCTCAAAAATTGACTTAAAAAAAAATCAAATGACAAATGGTTCGAGTATGTCAAACTTTGGGCCCGGAAGGCCCTGTTTCCCCATAGACCTTTTCGACAGTGGTTGAGGTTAGAAACAATTTGGAGGCTCTGCTACTTTTTTCTTTCTAACTGTTTGAAATTTTCGACTTCGTTGCGCAACTACGGTCGACTTGTTCCGTTGCGTTACGGAGTCAAAATTTGCTATTCGGTTTCAGTGAAAATGTTGCAGGCAATGAAAGTTTTCAGCCCCCCTACCCTCTCCCCCCCCTCACCCTAGCGTCGAAAAGGTCTATACCCTCTCTTTAACTCGTCTCGGGTGTCAGCGCCGCAGGCCTAGCTATATGTGCGCCATGCGCGTCGCAGCGTAAGGGTTTCGTGAGATATCGCGAAGCCTGTTACGCGAGACGTGGTCTGGCGTACGTGTAGCTAGTAGATGATAAACAGAGATTTTAGTCTACTTTATACGGTTTGTGAAAATGCCGGAATATGATTGTTGCGTCAGCAGGTAGCTATGCAACCCGCCCCGACCGGTCAAGAGCTGGTGTGTTTCTCTCAGCAGTGGAACACTAGACCAACATGACGGAACCACGAGAACCCCTCGGGAAGGGCCTCAGTCGCTTCAGGAGCCCGGCAAACATAGGGAAACCTCGAAACTGGCCCCTGGCCTGGAAGGCAGGAAACACGTCGTAGAGGTACGAAGGGGGCCTGGCGGCTTTCTACAGTGGGGTGTCATGTGAACACGGGGACCCTTTAGTTGTCAAAATCAAGCAAGACTTGGCGATTTTAGAGCAGTTTAGGCGTTTGAAAAAAGTTCTAATAGGGTATTCCGCTGCAAGCCAACCGGAACCTAAAGAAGAAAAGCATGCCTGCCCGATCTGTTTCCTCCTGAACGCTGATTGGTCAACGATGACCTTGGTATGCCGGCCAGCCAATGAGCGCGCGGAGGGAAGCAGATGGAGCAGTCATGCTTTTCTTCTTTAGGTTCCGGTTTGCTTGCCGCGGAATACCCTATCTGAGAGGAACGCGCATAGCCTAATTTTTCGGGTATCAGAAATCGCCTGGACACGTGAACTTTACTTTCCCAAGTAGAATCGATTAACCCCCGGCGAGGAACGATAGCTTCAATTGGACTTTTTCCTGGGGCAGTCTACCCGCAGAATAGAATGAAGCGGACGCCGGTTGGTTAGGCAGCCCAACCTGCTTCAAGGGGAGGGGAGGGGACTGGCGAGTCGGTCACGTTTTGATATCTTTATTTGCACTTGCTTTTTCCTTGTACCCGACGACGGGCGTTGGCGTGGGCAGGCAGCGTCGTTGGTGGGGGGGGGGGGGAGCACGGAGCGAGAGTGCAAGGGAAAGTAAACAGTATTTCCTAAAGCTGCAAAGGAGAATGAGGGGAACAACAAAACGGGTATCACTATGCTGAAGTATGGTGACTTCTCTTTTCTTGTTCCCCGCATTCATCTGCATTTCCTCCTTACCGCAATGCTTGCGGGACGCAAGGGGGAGTTGGGGGGGAGGTTCACTGCCGCCGCAGTGGTTCGGGCTAGCGACGCGGGCCGTGGCGCAGTGGTCGCCAGTCGCCAGCCAGCCGCCGGCCACTCGCTGCCACGGCACGCTACGGTGCTGACGCGCCCGCTCGGTCTAGCTCGCTCGCCCGGTCTCCCAGCAAGCAGTCTGTACGGCAATCGCAACCAGCCGAGGGACGCCGTCGTTGTGAATTGTGATTCAACATCAACAGTGCGATGCCTTGAGGGCAGTCGTGTTCAAGGCAGTGCATTGTGGATTACACACGGAGCCATGCATCACCACGGTAAGTGCAATGCGGTGTTCTTGTGTGGGTAGGCTAGGCGTCCGAAGCGGTGACCGCGAGGTTAGTCGCTCTCCGTCCGACTGAAAACTCATTGTTATTATCTTGTTTGAGTTTAGTGTTATGCTGAGGAGGAAAGTTATGTTATGAAATTGAAGTGGAATAGAACTCAGAAGTGTGCACTCTGTACTCGTTTCACTCCATCTATTTTAAATCTTGATATTCCTTCGTCTTTTGCCATCATTAGGGTATTCCCCTGCGAAGTAAAGTTGGAGGTTGTTCAGGCTGTTGTGACGAAACCGGACAGGCAGTAATGGTTGAAATCGAGGAGAAAGAGAGCTGTGTGTCAAGTCTCTAGTTCTGTGCTTGTCGAACATATTATTTGGAAACAACTCTCAAAAGAATAGTCTTGTTTATTCTGTTAGTGTTTAAAAATGGTGTAATTAAGATAGCTCAAACAATCACAGCATATTTTTCTTGTCAAAATTGTGAAAGTAGCTCACAAAAGTTTCAATTTAGTCAGAAAATGTTATTTCACATCAGCTTTTAGTTTTGGGACTGTGGGGATTGCGCATTTCTGCTCAACTTCGACACTGCTGATATCTTTTCACGAGTAGTCCAGGGAAAGTGTTAATCAATGGGCATGCATTTTGCACACACATGTTTGAAAGATAAAAGGTTAAAATTTTGTTACTTTACAAAACACCCCATCAAGAAATCTCTGATGATACTTAAAAATCTGGGTGCCTTTGCCAAATATGGATGTACCATTAACCATTGTTACAGATAATTAGTTCTAATTAGTTCTAAGAATTTGGTATTAACATTTTCTCTAACTTGGCATCCAAAATTTAGTTGTAAGTTACAAGTTTCTTTACTTGAATTCATGAAAGACCTTTTTCTTTAAAAAACAATGAGACCTAAGTGTTGTTTCATTAAAATTTAAATAATTTCTTTTGAGTGCTGTTGTGGCTTCAAAGTTAAACATCCGATAACAAAGTATCCGAGGTAACAAGAGTTTCGTCATACACATTAGAAATTCTACACCAATTCTTCTTCTTAAAAAGAGATTCAAGTAAATTTGTAGGATACAGAAGCAAATAAGGACCATAGATTCCCTTGTGGCCTCCTTGTCTAACATTTTTTAAGCAAGATAGAGTAAGGTCAGTATTGGTATCAACACGATGTGATTTGATTAGATTAATAGTATCTCCTCATGTAGCACATTTTCCCATGATACTTGAGTGTTTAGCTTTCACATTACTAAAACTTGATCAAGGGGCATAACAATGTCGATATCTGACACTTGTTCTCTGTTCTAAATTCACAAGATAATATAATGTTATAATTGAGCCTCAGTAATGTTCCTCATCTAAATGCTCTTTTGCAATCATCCAAGGTCAACCGGTATATGTTACTTTCTCGGGTTTTAAAAATTAAACATGTGGTGTGAATCATCACGTTTGAGTCAAAACAAGTTAGTTTCTGATTATAAAAATAAATTTTAGAGGAGATATTATAACAGA